TGGGGGGGGGGGGCGAAGAGCGGTTAAACTGAGTGTAAATCCAGGTGCCATTGGTGTGAGGAGAGGAAGAGGAACTGAGAGAAGCGGCGAGGAGGGGAGGCTCGACGGGGATAAAGCGTCTGGCTCATCCTGGGGGATGCACCGGCGCGGTAGGGGATGCCCGGGATCCCGCGTGCGTGCGGATCCGCCAATCGGACTTCAGGACCGCCTGCGATCACNCTCGATTAAGCGCGCGACGCCGCGGGCGACGTGCCGGGGATGCCGTCACGTAGCGGCCGCCTGGCTTTTCGGGGCGAGAGGGGTAGGCTCGAAAGTACGGTCTGCCGAAAGGGGTTGCGCTCTCTATTTGCCCTCTTAATCACCCGTTAAGTGTCGCGACCCCGATGTGCTTTCCCCGGGCACGCAGCGACGTAGTTCGTCTCTCTCTCTCTCTCTCTCTTTTTGTTTGCCCGCCGCTCGATTGGCGAACACACTGAACGCTGAATGATAACCGTTTCGAGGGGTGAGACGCATATAACTCGATTCTGGGTTAAAGACGGCGATGGTACGTCCGGGGGTTGTTGATTGGAAGGAGCTTCAGCGCCAACCGGCCAGGAATTAGATGATTTTTCCACACGCAACGAACCGATCTCGTACGCAGAACTTTTCTTGTTGAATAACGTGGCATACTATAAGAGCGTAATCTATTAGACTTGTATTTGGCGATCACACATTTGGGAAATAAATTCGAGTATCAGTTCGAGACTCGTATTCTCATGTGTAAGGAAATATATATAATCTTATGTGAAGATAACCTTACTTACATGAAGAAATTCTATGTATGTCCACTAAAAATATCATATTCTTGTTATCCGCGAATTTTGGAAAGATATTGAATGGAAGAAACGATATCTCCAAATTGATGCAATTCTTCGTTCGAAGGCATCGTTCTTTCTGTCCGATGTTTTTCCTTTCAATTCATGAGAATTCTGAATAACAAAAATATGGTACTTTTAGTGCAACTATATAAAATTTCTTCGTAAATATATTTTGTTGCTTATATTTGAGAATATAAATTATCTTGAATTGATACTAATTTTTCCCCCGTACAAGACATACTCATATTGAAGTTAAAATTTATGATAGCAAAATAAAGGAATAGTTTGCTCAGATATATATTTTTAACCCGCTTGTGTATATAAATTTCGCATAAAGAAATATGAGGAAAGTAAAAAACATTGCTTATATATACAATACTAATATATTGACAGTTGATGAATGTTTGTTTTCGAGAAAAATCCTCCGCGCGCAGAGCCACTTCGAAGATATCACGATGGATGACTCGACGGTGGGGGATGTCCGCGTGTTGCGTCACTTCGATCTCCGATCTTCACGCGAGACTTTCACGTTACGAAGCAAACCGTGAAATTGTCCGCCTCGAAGGACTCGCTCATCCGATCCGGGTTAATCCGGGCTTTGTCAAAACCGCGGCACCCGGGACGATCGGGGATATCCAAAGCGGCGTCCCCGAGCCAGCTCTTTCTGTCTCGCGCGTGTGTGCCCCTCTCATGTCACAATGCTGATTTTCCACGTAGATAGCTGCAAAATGGAGCGCATTCAACCCTTTTCTCACGACCGGCGCGTATACACTCTCTGTCCAACAGTCAATTCGGGGACAATGCGCGATCGAATTTACGCTCCCCTCCCCGTGCCCGACGTCCCCCCTTTTTTTTACCGCCGGGCTGTTCGACGAGCGAACGACACGTACCATTGTAACCGGATACTCCCGTTTAGGGGTGGCTCCTTGATACATCGGGGTTGGCCGGGGCAGGCTTATAACTAGTTGCCACTTAATTTGGCAAGCCTGGCGAGCCCAAAACGAGGGGTGCAACTCGCCCCGTCGGCGAGGGATTGGCCCGTCGAGATCGATTTCGGCGGACTACGTTGGTATTCGCTGGGGACGCGCTCGAATTATCTCCCCGGCTCGAACGTCACGTATCCTTCTGCCACCGTCGGCCTCGTCGTCCGAGAGTTATCTACCGTTGACCGTTCGTTCCCCCGGCGAAAACGATCGGAAATCCTTAACCGTGCTTTCGTCTTCCGAACGACGCAGCGACCCGGTATAAGGTTTTACGATCGGCCGGGATGCTACCGGCTGCCGAATTTCCGACAACGATTAGCGCATCCGCTCTCCTAAAGCCGATCAATGATAATATTTCGGATCAAGTCGGCGAAATATAGATGTCGGGAAATATTCAGTGAAAACTCTTCCACGCAGCTCCTTCTATAGTCCAAGTGTGTAATTTTTCACACACTCGTGCGTGTGAAAATGACTCAGCGTAAAATTACACACTTGGATTTCTAACTACCAGCTTTTGAGACTCAGCTGCGACTAATCGCGCTTCCACTCGGAAACGTTAATTACTACGCCGGGTCGCAATTAACCTCCGGTAAGTTAACAGCGACGGAACGATTGGTGTTTCAGGTGAAAGTGTGGTTCCAAAACCGACGGACGAAACACAAGCGGATGCTGCAGGAGGAAGACGCGAAGAGCCAGCAGCAGTCCGGCGGCGGAGGTGGCGGCGGCGGCGGCGGTGGCGGCGGCGGCGGTAACGGCAACGGCGCCGGCAACGGGAACAGCAATATCAGTGGCGGCAACAACAAGAACACCCATCACGTGAGCAAGTGGCAACAGGAGACCGGCGACTACCATCATGAAGAGGAGGAGGAGGACGAGCACATCGATCCGGAGGCCGAGGAGTGCTCGAGCGGTTCCGAAGCGTAGCTAGACGTTCTCTGCCTGGATTAGGATCCAGGATCGAGCAGATTATCCTACTGATCGTGGGTAGCATCCGCTCCCAGCGGATCGGTTCCCCGAATCTCCTCCGGCCGACGAGAAAGAGAGAGACGAAGATGGTCTTCTTCCTCGTATTCCGAAGAGAGTCGTGTTTCGAAGCAAACAACACTGAGTGAATTCACGCGAATCGGCTCGGATCGGGAATGTCGATTTCGCTCGAATCGCACGCTCAGAGTGTGAGGCAGACCGGGGATACCGGAGACCTCGTCGGTGACCGGCGCTTCCAACGTGTACGGGGCGTCGTTAGAGATCATACCTGGTTCCCCCTGATTTGACCCGGTCGTGTCTCGAGCCTGGGGAAGTATCGGGAGTATCGGGGGAATACGTCATCAGTTCTGATCCTGATTTCGACCTGAAGAGAGACTCGCGGTGCCGAACCGGCAGGTTTTCGGGAGAATCGACAATGAAGGAACTCGCGAACGGTACTCGCGGAATGAGCAGTGCTGGTAAGGCTGTGCGCCACGGAACGAGCGAGGTACTTGCTGACACGGTTGTTGAAAGACAGGACGAGGACAAAGTGTCTCTCGATGATGATAAGGAAGACGAAGTCCGTGCGAAGATGGACCTCTGAGGGAAGGACCGACGATGTGGAAATGGACGAAGGGGACGAGCGGTGATTTCGAAGACGAGAGAGAATCTCGCGCGAGGACGAGAGGAAGGGCTCGCGAGAAAGGAAGACGGAGGAGGCGAAGAACCGGACAAGGAGGAGAGGAGCCGTGAGAAGGAGGGAAAAGAAGCCGATAACAACGGCGACGATCGCGGGAGAAGCGCGAGAAGCAGAAGTTAATGAACGGGAAATTAGCCGAGAGAGCGGAAACGAGGCAGGCGACAAGAAGAAGGACTCACTCCCGAGAGCACTGATAATCGAAAGCGATGATTCGTCCAGCGAGCGGAGGCCGCCTGGGTCGTGGCTACGAGAAGACGGAGGAAGGAGGCAGCGGAGGAGGAGGAGGAGGAGAATGCTTGACCCCGCGAGAGTCTGACCCTGAGGAGCCTTTCCATCAGCGAAATCACCGATCTGCGGGCAGGACTCGCCGAGTCTTGTTCCGAACTTGCCAGATTAGTCGATAGCAGCCGATGTTGCGCCGGGAGGGGTGTCTTTTTCTTCTCTCCCCCCTTCCCACTCTCTCGTTCCTCCCCCTCCGCTCCCGAGGAGGGGATCGCGACGGGTAGTTCCACCGGGGATCTTCGTGACCGCAGCGCGCGGCTGTTGCCGAAGGCCGGGGAATGATCGCGAAGATACGTAAATATCCTCGGGATTAGGTTGCGAGAGAGAAAGAGAGAGAGAGAGAGAGAGAGAAAGAGTTTTTCCTCAGCGCGGGGCTTCCTCCCAGCGGGCGCGCGGAAAAAGCGAGCGGAGAAATCGAAGGCGAATCCGGCTCGGAAGCCGGCTAATGGAGGCATTGTCTGCGGGAGAAACGACGAGGGTAAATGGACGCGTATCCGGCGGAAACGGCGACGCTCGGCGCATCGAGCACGCCGATCGATACGCGAATTTTGCTCTCTCTATCTCTCTCTCTCTCTCTCTCTCCCGGGTTTTATTATTTCGCGGCGAGACCGCTTCCTACGTATCGGCCTGCGTGCCGGATCTCCCGGAGCCTCGGGGATGCTCCTTCGCGGCGACGCCACCGCGAGAAATCGTCGTCCTCCGATTCCGAGAGCGCGTCCCATTTCGGACGGAAGCGTTCACGAAGGTCTCTCGAAGGTGAGGAGAGCCGAGGAGTGGTGAACTCTCGCACACGACGAATGCCGGCGAATCGCGCACGTTTTCCCGCTGGTCTTGCCATAAAAGAATCGCCATAAGGATCCCCTCGCCGCGATCGTGTAAATAAAGCGTCGGGGAAGGAGAAGCGGGTGCGGGAAGGGAGAGACGGCCGCGAGGATCGCGTCGATCTCTCCTCCGGTAAAAAAGCGCATCCCGGCGAGATTTTCTCCTTACGAGAGTCGCGAGAATGTAGACCGCATCGGGAGAATGTAAATAGATAGGATGCGTCCGAAGCGCATCGTAAAAGGGGGAAGAACACACACACACACACATACACCGAATAACGGAGAAAGAAAGAATCGGGAGTTGAAAGAGAGTGCCAAACTTCATACCCCCCCCCCTCGTTCCCCCCGGACCCTCTTAGAGAGAGAGAGAGAGAGAGAGAGCGATCCCAGTGTAAACTCGAGTTGTACTTTGCAGTTGTATTTAAGTCGTTGTTCTACACGAGCGAGCAGTATTCCTTGCGTCCGAGAAGACCGATCGATGTGCGTCCGAGGTAATGAAAATAATAATAATAATAATAATAATAATAATAAAAAGCAGAAGTACTGAGACGATTTAAATTATTATCGCTAAAGAGCGCGTTAGACACAAACCTGAATCCCCTGCGCCGCGCCGGCGGAGCGCGCGATCTCCGTTTTATTCGCCGTTCGGTGATATTAACGTATCGACGGGTTTACCTCGATCTTTTTCTCGATACCTTAATATCTGTCCTGCGAGCCCCACGTCGCCGCTCGTCGAGCAACGATGCCATCGATCCCGGGGAATCGACGGCGAAACTCGCGCGCTGAATCAAAAGGAAGCGTCGTGTTCCTATTCGCTCGATCTTTCGCTCGCCCGCCGAAAACTCGCGCGCTCGCGGTGCAGGACTTTCGCCCTGTAAATAATATTGTAAATAGGAAAATGTGATTTTACTCGACGTACAGAAGCATAGAATTGTACTATCGAATGATTCAGTTCGTGTTCTAACGATATAGTGAAATAAATTATATGATCAAACTATGAGTTCGATGTTGCTTTGTTTTCATTTCGTGCTTCCCTCTCCTACCCTTTTCTCCAGCGACTTGGATGAATCCGTCACAAATGTTCCTTCAACGGGCAAAAGTGATATCCCGTCGCTGCGGGAATTATCGCTTGAACGTAAATGGAATGTATCAAAATGTAGGTTTCCAGCTTAGTCTTTCGGAATTTCTTGCAGTGCAATATGAGAGAATATGAGAAAAAATTCGCTTGGAACGAAAGTACCGCCGCGTTCGCGAGCGAACGTTTTACTCAAACTTATAGCGTATTCTTAATTCATATATTGAGAGAATAAAAATACATAAAAATAAAAATTATTTGTTCAGTGGGTATTAACCCTCTCCGGAGCGGAGCCCTCGAGTGCAAAGGGTTAACAGTATATTTACTTAAATCTGAATCCTTTTATTTAAACGGAATGAACAATTATTTTCATGCCAAGCTACAGATTTAAGAAAATGTCTCGTAGACACGAGTAAATATATTAATAATAATAATAACTTAATGATAATAATAAATGTTTTTTTATTTATAGATGCTTTCCCTTTCATTGCTCTACACATATGAATAGATTAGATTAAAGAAATCTCATATCTAATATCTCCTAAGTAACGAATCATAGAACGCGAGCAATTGATCAATTAGAACCGAACGCATTCGTGCTGAATTTGAATCCTGGGCGGATAATAATATTTGACTGTGTAAATACACGCGTCAAAAGTGCCTTGTTATAACGTACACAACGAGTCTATACGTCAAATCTACCCCTTCTTTTATCCTCTAATTCTTATACTATAATATTTTCCCATTCTTCTCCTCTACCTTCCCTAAATGAAACAATATTTATGCGTTAACGATCCCTTACAGTGTTGCAAAAAATACAGTGGTTGGAATAATTTCAATTGATTAGATTACTTTGCCCGGCCGATTAGATTTATCCGGCCGTTCTAATGGTAGGGTACACGCAGTGCACGTAAAGTTCGTACGAGAAATCCGGCGACCGCGACGTACAAAAATATTCAGGAGGGGAAATGAATTGCTCAATTTTAACGATTACAATCGACACCTTTATTGCGACGCGATACAATCGATAACGATAATGAGTCGATTCGAGATTCGGAAATCGAGATCTCACGAGAGAACAACGGGAGAACAGCGTAAGACACGAAACGAGACAAACGAGTTACAGAGATACACTCTAAATCTAACGTTCACTTTCTTTCTTCACATAAATGACTTGAATAGGCTATTCGCGCTTTGTTCCGCTAACTTGTTTATTATTGATCGCGCCGTTTCGGTGACACATACAGGCTAAAGCCGATATATTTAGAAGATATTGACGAGGAACACATTCGAATGAACGCCGAGGCAGAATTGAAATAAATTTTCAACGTTGAAATACGAACGCGCTACATTGCGATAGCTATTGTCCTATTTGAGATTTTTGTTTTCGTAACACACAAACTGGTATTATGGTCTTAACATATGGAAATATGCCATTCTATAGCCTCCCATAAAAAATAAATTATAAACGCTTTAGAAAGGTACAATTGGCATCTATATTCTATGCTATTCTGCTGGATCAAAAATGAGATATTTCTCGGTCTTATACATGAAAAGGATACAAAACCGTCTTAATTAGAGAGAAGGAGAGAGAGAGAGAGAAAGAAAATCAGCTATTATAACCTTATTATTATAATTAGAACTATTTATTTCGACCTTCCGAACTATGTATAAGGTAATGGTAAGACTGAATATGATAAGACTGAAAATCTTGGAAGGACGATGGCTGAAAAGAACTGTTTTTGAAGTCAAAATTATCCCAAAATGTTAAATAAAGATGGTACGTTTTTTGTAATTTTCGGGCTGCTGAATCTGTTTCTGATCTTTAAAAAATTTTAATTTGTCGGGAAAATATTAAAATCAGCGTATGAAGCGTGACAATAAGAATGATTTTGAATGAATTGAGAATAATTCTATTAATTTTTTCTCAATGTTTTTTCATTCTTATGTATTTAATATTGAAAATTATAAGGTTTACGTAAACAATACTTTCAAGCACTAAGATCCGCTTTGACCGAATAAGGCCTTCTTCCTTTATTCATTTGTGTTACATATCGCTCGATTTTCACTTAGCATTACAACTTATTTAATGCTTAATAATTAATATTGTTTATTTTATTCTAGTTTTACGTTCTTTCATTAACACACCGTTCTCATAATAGCTTCTTATATATTTAATAATTCCAGGTGCCAATTTTAATACTTTCCCGACAAATTAAAATTTTTCAAAAATCAGAATCACAGATTCAGCAGCTCAAAAACGGGAAAACGTTTTTACTTACCACTCCGGGAGCCAAGATCGTCCTGTTTTATCCACCGTTCTTGTTTAGCAGATTTTCATTTAGAGAATGTACAGCATACACGACACCGACTGTACAACTTTAAGTATTAAGGCTGTCACGCCAGCCTGTACGTCGGATTCACTCTTCAATTCGCAAGGAAAATATTCAGCCGACGATTCGCAGTGGAAAATTCACACAAGTAAACTCGAGTCTGAGTGATTCTACAGTTCAAGCGGAGCAATCGCTCGAAAAAATGTCGAAGGATGCGTCTTTCCACGTCTTTTCTCGAACGCGAAGAATAAAACGACGACGAGACAGAGTCCCTCTCTCTCTCTCTTTCGAGTCTCGCGCACGTTTACGAACATATTGCGCGCGTAACGGTGCTCCCCTAATGATCCCGAACGTTAACGTATCCAGATGGTAAATTCGATGGCGCGCATGTAATTTCGCACCGGCTTTTCCCGAAACTGTTTGTTTTCCGTGCGCGGTAATTTCTTACTGCGCAGCGTATCATTTCAGGAGGTGCGCAACGCGCGTACGGTGAAAAATTGAATAATTCCCGCCGGCGGGCAGGTCGCATGAGGAGCAGCATCTCCGTGCACCTCGCGCACCTCGGCAATTCCCCGGCCACGACATTATCGCAATGACCGGCCGTAATTACCGCGTCGCGCGCGGAGGGCTGTCTTCGCGCGTAACGCAAATTGTTTTCGCGAAAGCAACCGTCTCTCCGTCGCCGGCGCAGAAAATCGCCGGGCTGCCGCCACCGCCGCAGGAGCGATCCTTGTCGATAATCGCTTTATAATCGCCGCATCCAAAAGGAATAATTTACCACGTCGGACGTGGAAGTCTCTCTTTCTTTCCCCCTGCCGTCCCTTTTCTCTCCTTCTCGCCACCCTACTCTCCCTTCCCGTCCTCCGTAATTAAACACGCCGGATACTCTCCCTCCGTGGCCCGGAACGACGGATCTCCCGGCCGATGTTGGTGGATTCGAGATCCGGCCGGAGATCGGTCGTTGTTATTTTCGTCGAAGTTGGATACACGGAGGAAACGAATTCTGTTGGAACGGCAAATTGTTTGTTAATACAGCGGCGGCGGAAAATTCTGCCACGCAGGAGGGATCATTTCGCTTGTCGTAGGGAAACGTCTTCTTGCGACGCCGAGAAAATTTCGTTGGCATAACCAAATGATTTCACCGTTCACAAATTCAGGAAGTAACGATTAATACTTTTAACAAGTCTTTCTGCTGCCCGAGCGAATTTGTCTTTTGCTTTCGTCCACCATCGTCCACCTCCGTCGGTAGGTTTCAGGCACGACGTCGCTCTTCCTCCGGGCGTTCGTTTCCGTGATCTTTCCTTTTCTCTCTCTCTCTCTCTCTCTCTCTCTCTCTCTCTCTCTCTCTCTCTTTTTATGTCCTTTCCAAAGTCCTAAAACGAATCTGCTCTCGGCAGGAATATCGCGTGCATCGGTGCAGCTCGTTCGATAATCCAAGGATCCACGCGACTCGCGGCTTTCCAAACAGCCCTCGAGTTTCAGTACGACGAGGGTGGGGATCTTCTTTCGTTTTCCTCCCGAAATCTGGAGTGAGATTCCTCCCTCCGCAAAAATATCACGCCCGGAAACTCGATCGAGGATAATCAAGGTTCCACGAATCGCGACTCGCGAGTCTCGAAACAACAAGCCCTTCCGTTCCGTTCGGATTAATTCGATTAAACTCGACGCGGCCAGCGGATCGGTCATTCAGTCGATGATAATTAACGGTCGTGTCGCCGGCAATTATCGACGTGTTAATCAGTCCGTGCTAATGAAACTAAACCGAACGAATCCGCGATCAACGCGCGCGCATCCACCCACACACGCCTAATGTCGCGTCTCGACGTTCGTCGAAACGTCCAACGAATCTCGCATCGGACATCCCTTTTTTCTCCATTCCCTCTCTTTTCCCCTCCTCCTCCTCCAGTTCTTCTTTTTCCCCGTTCTTCCTCCGGCAACTCGCTGTTCCCACGGCTGTTAATCATTAATTGTCTCATTGCGTATTCGACGCGGACTCATTCGTCGGACCGGAAAAAGACCCGGCGAGATCGCCAAGATTGCCGGGCCCATTTCACCGTCCTCCGTTATCGATCGATCAATTAAGCGGCCAAATTAATCAGCATACGCGCGAATCGCCGGGCAAACGAACGAGCGAGCGGGAAAGAGAGCCGGGACACGAGAGCAACACGGACATGGGGTGCTAATGAAGCGTATTAATTGGAACGTTCGCCTCGTGGCTCGTTAATTAAACGGCTCGCGGGCAACTCGTCAAAGAGACACGCCGCGCGATCGATCGACGATCGATCGATAATTAATAGATCTCATTGTCGGTCGATGCGCGCGTCTCGCTTCCCCCTTCTCTCTCTCTCTCGCTCTCTCTCTCTCTCTCGCTCTTTCCCTCCCTTTCTTTCTGTCTCTCTCTCGCCGGATGATTCAGCTTCATTACCGCGGACTCGTCGCGATCGTCGTCGTTCGCTAATTAGCGCGATACGAGTTACGCGAGTTTCCAGGTGCGCGAGAAGGAGATAAAGCGAGAGATAGAAAGAAAGAGTGGGGGAGGGGGGC